TTGTGGTTCATGCAACGCTTTCCGATTGATAGCACCGACGGTGTGTCTTCCAACACGTAGACGTAGACGTTGATCGGTTCTTCAAACGACTCGGTCTTGAAGTTCGACACCAGATCGGTGTCGGTAACTCCATTTGTCGTTTGGAAGGAAATGGGCTCTGGTGTGACGAGCGTTTCAAGCTCACGCGATGAGATCGTGACCACATCCGGTGTCCTTCAGGAACTTGATCTTCTTCCGCAAATGTACTGGTTGAACCATGCACTTGAACGTCCCTTGGTCAATGATTCTCTTGCTGTGACCAGCGTCCAGCTCACGCTCAACGATGGAATCATCACCGTCGTAGAAGGCAACTTCTTCCACCCGAGACGTGCCTGGTATCCGAACGAGTGAGATACGATCACCTTCACGATCATCATCTACCATATCTCGCATGATTTGAGCCCTTAAAATTGCTTTGTGCTTGGCGAACTCCAATTCCACTGGACGACCTTCATGCTGTGTGAGTGATGCAACGTCAACGGAAATGATGGTCTGCTTCTTGTCCTTGCATGATCTTCTTGGTTTCGAAGACGAGAACCTCACATCCTCCGCAAACGACACTCTGCACTTCTTGGTTAACCTGATCGGCGAAGCCGTCCCAGGCACCTCATCGTCGGTTGAACAGTCAGAATCTGCATCGCTGTCAACGGAAGAGCACTCCGAATCATCGTCGTTTTGGTGTGTGGATCTCTTCCATATGGCAGGAGCAGATGGATTCCACCTTCGACACAATCTGATGGCTGGCGCAGCAGGCGCAGCCTTGGCCTTTGGGTTCTTCTTTGCTGCTGCAGCTTCCGCTTTTGCCTTTGCTTCTGCTTTAGCCTTGGCTTTGGCTTTAGGCTCAGGAGCTGGAGTAGCTGCGGCTTCATGCTTGAACGGACAGTTCTCTCTGGAACATGACCCTGAATGAAAAGCATATCCGATTGGAATTTCCACCAGATGGACTTGGAGTCCTCGACCTCGTTCCGGAGTCTTCTTAGAGTGGCTGAAAGGGCATTTGTCGCCATTCCGACACCCTCCATCAGAGAAATGGAATTTGCGCCGAATGTGTTTCTTACTCTTGTCATCCTTTGTTTCTGTGGATGCACTTCTGGGCTTCTTCTTCGGTTTCGGCGTTGTCTTTGTGTGCGCCTTAGCCTTGCCCTGTGGTGGAACAGGAGCTGCGTTGTCTGCTTGGTAGGACTTACCTTAGCCTGGGATTCGGCACAGCGTTTGCCTTCTTGTCAGGAGCTTTGGCTGGTGCCGCCAACAGATCTTTGCCTTCCAACATTTGACGAAGTCCGACTTGCGTCTGAGCAAGGTTCGAGTGTTCTCGTCGTCGCATGATGGTGCGGTCAATGATCCGGATAAGATTGGCGTGCGACCGATTCTCACAATTGTAGGGCAGGTGTTCGTAGTGAAGACCAAGCTCCATTTTCATGGCAGGGGAATCCTTGATCTTGTTGTATAAGCAATCGCGAAGAGCTGTCTCTGAAGGGATGTCAGCAGGTTGCATTCGCCCCAGGATCTCCAACCATGTCTGCTTGAATGCATGGAGCTTGTTGTCACCCTGGTACTGTAGCTTGACCAAGTAATCCAGCGTGATAACCATGTCCAGTCTATCATGAGTTCTGAAGCTTTCCATCATCATCGAACTGATATGCCGTCATTTGATGATCTTGCCGGCAGATGAACGAATATATTCGTTCGCCTTTCGATTCACTTCCAAGTATAGATCTGCGGCTTTGTCACCTCCAGCGCGAAGCATTGCTGTCATTGCGACTCCCAACTTGACATCCATGCTCTTGAATTTCTTGTGACCGGAATCATCCAAGGCTTCGATATCAGGCATCGACTCGAAAGCTGCTCTGAGCCAAATCATCCAATCCTCATGGTTGGGGTCCGCAGACACGCTGAGGACGTTGGCAGTACAAAATGACCGCCAATTGTCCAAATGAGCGAGAGTAGGCCACGGAGGTACACTGATTTTATCAGCTTCCCGTCTTGAATCTTTTGACTTCGGTGATCTCGGGATCAACATCTCCGTCAGGATCATGACGACCAGGTGGATCCGGGTCGGGTTCTCCTCCGGGTTTCCCTGGTGGTCCATCATTCTTCTTCTTGTCACCGTCGTCATCAGGGTCAATAGGGTCAGGTGGATCACCTCCTTCACCCGCATTGTCACCGTCTTCTCCATCTTCGGGATTATCAGCCTCCTCATGACCGTCGTTTTCCTCTTCCGCCTCTTTCAATGACTTAGCCATTAGCCTCCATTCATCACGGTCAACTCGCAAACGTTGCTCTGCTTGTTGAGCTTTGAGAACTTCACTTCGCAGGTCAGCGATCTTCTCTACGAATTCTAGTGCAATTTGACTCTAACGTTCCTCATGAATCGAATCATTGAAGGTTGCAGGTAAATCCACTGGTACATTCGGTACTCTCATGGCTTCAACTGGGGATTGTTTGGTCGCTTTGTTGGATGCAAGTTCACCGTCACGGTGGACAGGTCTGGATGAGCTGGCCGATGAAGTGGAATTTCTTCCCCTCATGCCGAGGTCCTCCAGAAGCTCTCGTAGCTGTCCGTCACGCACGGCTCGAGCATCATTTTGTCCTTGGGTGGATCCGACGGGTATACCGAATAGCGACGTTGCATTAGGCGCAAAGCAAGCTGCGGACTCTATGCAGGAGCGATTCAAGGTCATCAAGAGGCAAGAGTCACTAGTCGCTAATGAGATGCAGGGTATGATTGGTACCCATGCAACGGCAAATCAAGAATGTCAACGACTTCGTGAACGACTTGGTGAAGAAGAAGAGTTCCGTGTACTAGCAGTTAGGAGGATGCAAGAAGCCGAAGTTCAACTTCAGAATCACGAGAATCATGCAAAGCAAGCATTGCCAACGATGCATGAGGAGTTGACTGGACTCAGAAAGGCCCTACGAACACAAGAAGAGCTTCAGTCACAGACACGAAGCGAGCTTGATGCGGCACGAATCGCGGCCCAACAAGCTGGATCTGTGCGGGCATCGAGCATACCTACGTCTTCGAGGACTACTGAGTACGGATGGGAGCATGTAGGGAAGGATGTAGTGCCTGCATTTTCCTTAGGAGTCGAGGTACGATCCCCCGAAACACGTTCTCCAAGCCAGATTGGTCCTGTCGCCAAGGGAAGTTCACATTCGCTGAACCGGTCGGAGACAAGATCCTGACCTCTGATGGATCGAAGGCAGCTGGCGATATCCTCAAGGATGAAATTGGGAAGGACGGCACGAAAATGTTCACCGGGAAGATTCCAACGGTCGAGAACAGAGTGCCTGAGCGATTTGCGCCGCGTACTGATGGCAATGCATTTGAGCGTTTTCGGAAGTATTCACATTGGCGCGAAGTTGAAGGTTCTCTCTAGCTTGTTCATGAAGCTCATTCGTAAGACGCTCATACTCACGTGCCATATGTTCACCGTCACCTTGAACCCTTGTCTCCAACTGCACAAAGCTGGTAGCAGCTTCGCTGCGAACCTGGTGCAACTGTTGAGCGAGTTCCTCGGCAATCACGTGCCCCTTGGCGTTGTTGAGCAGAATTCTGTTCATCCATCCTGAACACTGCGGTTTCGTAGTCACGCTTCATCTCCTGATTGACATTGTTGAGATGTTGCATTGCCAGATGTGCTGTATCACGTTGGCGCTCCAATTCTCCGATGCGAATCTCCGATCCCTCGTCCTCCTGCTTCATCTCATTGATCTTGTCCACCAAAGCTTGCACAACGCTCTGGTATTTCTGCACCTCGCTCCGATAAAACATCTGCTGCGCGGTGCTTGAGGCTTCAAGCTGTTGCTGCATGCTCATTGCTTGTTGTGGATTCGGATCATCGGCAATGGCAGGGGTTGCTTCTGACGATGCATCACCACGAACCGGTATGGTTTCCAAGGTCATGTCTTCGTCATCATGATCATGAGGATGATTCGTGACCATCTTCTTCCATGTCAAAGATTTCTCCCTTGCCCTTGCTGTTGATGTCCTTGATCTTGAAGACGAACTTCGTGAAGACGTTGATTTGACTCATTTTTCCTTCACCCTGGACGGCGTCCTCATCACCTGCAAACCAGACGATTCAGGACGTCGCTCAAACGCCCTTGTTGTCCTTGATCCTGCGGATGTTGGACGAGAAGGCGTGGATGCTCTCGACATATTCTTTGCTTTTGCTTTGGGAACTGCCTTAGCGATGGCAACGGTCGAGGAATGCCCTTTGTCATCCTCGGTGGAGCTGTCAACGGACTGCGCCACTGTGTCGTCAGCAGTTGAATCCCCAACGGCTGGTGCTGCCATCTCGGCACCGAAAGTCATTGTCGTATCTTGACTTGACCCAGAGTTCATCGTGGTCGTAGTAGATCAAGTAGTCTTTGCTGTTGGTAGGCAGAGCCTACGGCTGATAACCTGCGTGGGGATTTGATCTTGATGTTGTCCTTGTTCGCTCACCCGAGCTATGTCGTATGTGTGTGGTTGCCCTTCGATAATCTATCACTCCCAGTTCCACGTAGTAAGCTCAAACGCAGGCAGGCAGACTCGATAGCGGCTCTTTTCCAGGGTAGCACGAGTCGTCTGCGCACCGGGATGGCTCAACTCACTAGGTCAGAAAGACAGCGAGCTAATGTTAAGCTTGTGGCAATCGGTTTGTGAGCTTTTCAGCTCGTTCTTGAGCCAAAGTTGCGTTGGCGGCATTTGGTAACTGGTGTAGCTCTGTGGTGCGCGTAGCGTGCCCACAGGCTGACACCTAGAGATGAAGTACGGGTAGCGTGCCTCCACTCCTAACCTATACAAGTTATATCTCATAGCTGTTATAGCGACACCACAGAATCGGACTGGGTATCGAGGTCCGTTCGCACCATTCGATCAGGACCTTACATGCTCACACAGATCTCCTATCTAGGCCTGATAGCGCCTCCTCGACCCGCGGCACAAAGGCTTGAAGTCTCAATTCCGACCTCGCCTGGGCTGAGCAGTCTGCGTCGTCCTCTTTCGCGCTGTCATACGCAGCCTTTGCCTTTCCAAACCTGAGCATGGGCTTTCGGATTTACGAGTTGCAGGCCAAAACATTTGGACGTCCCTGTCCTGAGCCATCTAGCAAGAGAACAGTTGGCCAAGGCGCCCGGTGTATGGGTTGGCGAATGAAGCCACCGTCTGGCCGTTGGACGCATTGGGGCTGTAGGGGCTTAGGGTTTGGGGGCTTAGACTGCCGGCATTAGGTCTGGAAGTGTAGCGGATTGCGGTCTGGTCTTAGGGATTTGAATTTAAGGGCTCGGGGCCCAATGGCTTAGAGGGCCGGTTGTGGGTTTTGGGGCCTTGGCTCTTAGCGGATTTATAAATTTAGGGGCTTGCTTGTTGAAACTGAACCGAAAGAGACGAGATCATCCGGTGTTTGGGCTTTGTTTGTGAGGCATAAGGTTGAGCCTTTTGGCCTTTGGGGGGATTTTTGGGCTTGCAGTATTGAGTTTTTTCCCCAACAGGGCAAGCTCTGGGGTCTTCAGCCGAAAAAGGTTTGGGGCGGGCTTCCAAAATCTTGAGTGTAAGACTTAGGGTTTAAGAGTTTCCAGGTTTCTGCTTTCGGAGACCCGGAGCTTATGGTGTTTCGGGTGTATAGGATGTAAGCTGTGGGGTTTGAGGATTTGCAGTTTTTGCTGCGGACGCTTGTTGGGCTCATGGAGTCTGGGGCTTTGGGTTGAGATTTTGGGATATGAGGTTCATGGTTTATGGGTTTAGGTTTGGTTTGAGGCGCAAGGTTTCCGGTTCAAGGGTCCGCACTGTTTTCAGGCTGGGTGTTTACCATTCGGCCTCGGGTTTGAAGTCTGGGTTTGTGCTTGAAGCGTTGGTGGTTTTGGGTCAGGATTTCGGATACAAGGTTGAGGCTTCATGCAAGCTTCCGGGTTTGGGTCGAGGATTCACGATTTGGCTTTGGACACCGACCCGCAAGGTACAACAGTCGAGCAGAAACCGCGACAACAGAACTGAATAACTATACGGTGAAGGCGACAAACATAGCTGGAATACTAAGGCTCCAAGCACATGGTACAACTGAACACGAACGGTCTGCGACAACATGTGGAATGCATGCACGACAAACCCCAACGTACAAAACGTAAGAACAAACAAACACAAATACCCTTCCAAACCTTATCCGTAACTTAGAAATTAATCTTACATCTCTCAACCTGCCTACAACCTTCAGGAACCTAGGATCACACCCACTCGGGTTACACACAGCTTCAACAGAACTTGTACCGTCACTTACTAACTCTAAAATGTCTGGCCAACAGCACGTTCTAAATTTTGTCGCCAAGAGCTACGTCGCGTCCCTTGCCGCCCAGAACCGCAAAGCACAACCCTGAAGGCCTGACCCCTAATTCCGATCCCGTATTCTGAAGCCCTAGACCATCACAATGCCGTCAGATCCTTAAAAATTGAACCGTCGGCCTGATATATGCTGAAGATGTCTTTGCAAAGATCCTGCGGCAGGCTGCAGGGTTTAAGGTTTGGGGGCTGATTGTTGAGTGGGGTATGGCGGGTTGAACTTTAGGCTCTCCCCATAGACGCCCCCACAATGTGATCCTCGTCGCCAAACAACCCGCCCCCCCACCACAAAGGATGCGGAATTTTCGGAGACACTTGTTTATATCCCATGCTTTCCTTCACTATTCTTCGCTATTATGGTTGCATGTGACCAACGTGACAATGCTGCTAACTATACAGTTGGGCTGCCACGACGGCGATCTCCATGCCGAGACCCAGCGGAGCGACCTGCCAGGGTATTTTTGCTTGGAGGGGCTCGGGGCTTCCGAGGTGCAGAGGCCAGGTTATATATATGTATATATATATACACATATACATACGGTGCCTTGTTCCGTGTTAGTCGCCCCCCCCCCATGGTATGGTCCACCCATGGTATACACCCGAAATCCTTGTCTGTTGTCTCAAACGTGCCAACAGTCACAGGGACGGGCCCTCCGAACCCGCGATCTTCCTGAGTCGGTCTGCGCCGCGCCCAGCTGCTGACCCTCAACCCTAAACTCTGGCATATCTATACACCTAAACCTTAAACAACCCCACCACCCACAGGGGCGGGGCGGGTGCAAACCCTATACCAAAAAAAAACACACCACCACACCACAGGGAGGGAGCAAGGGAATTAAAAACTAAACCTGAAACCCACAACCCACCACCACAGCACACCACACCCTACCACAGGGGGGAGAAGGGGGGTTAAATCGCCCAAAACCCACCGGCACGGGTGCAAATCCTAAACCCAACACCCACCACAGGGAGGGGGGAAGGGGATTAAACACTAAAAGAAATCCCCAACCCACCACCACAGCACACCAATGGGGGGGGGGAGAGTGGGGTTTAATAACCCAAAACCCACCACCGCACCACGGGGGACTCCAACTACCATTTAGATAATCCGGCAGGCTGTTTGGAATCAGAAGATTTACAAAGGAGTATCTGCATGAAGGGAAAACATCTTCAAGCTTATGCAGAACAATGTGCCACTGCAGCCCTCAATCACGGCAAGCCCTGTAACAGGAAACAATATGAATCCACCGTAGAATCTCCCACACAATCCCCTTCTGCTTCTGGGATGGCTCCAATTCGAAAAGGCTTGCAGCCTCAACTTGTCCAGCAGCATCGCAACCAAGGCCGTTGACAACAGAGAACAACTGAGTAACGTGCCTGAAGGTGTAGAGCATTGGCATTCGGGCTTTGGACTCATGTGGAGTTGATTGTAGCTCTTGGCAAGCTTAGATGGAGGTTGGCCCCATCTACAACACTCTCAAAGCACTGTTTATCTTACGTAGTCCTATTGCAATTGCACATAGTGCTATGCAGAATAGCGAGGATGGTCGTAACAAGCAACAACAGTGATACCAATCAAAGCAAAAACATAAAAAGTTCATGATATGCATATAACTCATAATCTTCATGCCCAAAGACACCATGCAGGGCTCGGGAAGACGTACTCTTCTGAAGCCCAGCTTAAGATTCGTTTGCGGTTGTGCTGGGACGAGGGGCTCGGCGATCGTCCCATCGAAGTCCGCCTTGGCCGATTTCAAACCGCCTCAGGACCCGAGGCCGATGGAAGCATCGCGTGCCACGCTGGAGTGGCTCAGACGGAGCCAGCCGGTCATTGATTGTTTTGTGTTTGCAATCGCTGCTGGTGCTGCTGCTCTTGCGACGCGGATGCGGATAGCGTTGCGGTGGCTATCTCCTACGTGCCATGTGCTAGTTATTGAAGCCGACATTCCATTCGGCACGCGTTGTCTTCCCGATGAAGCTCTGTCGAGCCAAACATGTGCGTAATTCAGCCAGTTCACGTACGCCGGAGCGTCCATCACATTCGTCAAGCTCGCGGTAGTTTATCCTCGGCTCAGGTGCTGGCACAAGTCTGCATAAGTGTGACTGTCCCCGATCCTGTGCAACCCCTAGACTACCGTCAGCGGAGTAAAGACCACCAGCCGAGCAACGTGAAGCTCTGTATATTTGCGGTAGGATGTCAACGCAGCATCAGCGTAGCACAACATCAGAACCATCCGCTAGACCAAGTTGAGGACTAGCCAGGCATCGCAACTACATCAGCCCAGTTCAGGATTGTAAGGGTGGAGAAACACCCGGTTGTGAGTGCGAAATTCCCCTCCAAGTACTCGTATGTTCTTCAATCCTAACGCTGGGTCTGTCGGAACCCTTCACCCTCAGCATTGCACGTGCAACCAATCATATCCTTCAACGCTGCCTCAAAAAGCCCTTGACATTTGCCAGCAGCCAAGTATCTTCTCGCCGGTGTCTGATCCGTCTCCTGATTGTTTTAAGGAGTGCTTTAGCCGCTTTAGTGTACCCTTGGCTAAAAGTCCTCTTACAGCATGGAAGTGTCTACATCGCACAACATCATGTTACTCTCCTCCTCCGATGACACCTTTCGTCGCCGTCACGCTGGCGGCTACGGCACAGGGGCTCTCTTCCTGAGGTTCCAGGCAGGTCTCTAAGCCCTTGCGCCATTTGGGGGTAACGGTGCAACGTTTTGTGTTCAAGGTCAACGAGGAGCATCCCGATCATGAGAGGATTATGCACAGCTGCACAGTACTGTAGTTACTCTGCCCTTAACTCATGGACCCGAGGAAATGATACCATCCTGGCCCCGCAGAGGCTTGAGGCTTGGTGGTTTCCTATGAGAGAAGCTCGCTTCTTTGATGGGTATTGCCCCCCATATCTCGTGGCTCCCTGTAAGCGTCAACTCCAGGTTGCAACGGGCAAGGCTATGAGAAATGCTCAAAAGGAGAGAGGAGAGCAACCCAAAGGTTTCACTGATCAGATTCTTGGGGTTCCTTCAGATTTGGCCCGATTGAACCCCATTGACATCTTTGGCCCTAAGCCGTTCTACCCGCCACCCTCCCCGCACCGATGCCAAACACCTACATGTCTTCTTGTCTTCTCTTTGGGTTAAAAAGTTCATCATAAATTTGGGCTTTCGGGCTGAGGCTAGTAGGGGATAAGGAGCTTGAAGGAACCTGAGGTCAGCCGCGATGCTGGGAGAGGAACCACTGCTTCAGCTTTCAGCTGGCCCTCATGCGCTGTGACCTGCGAGACGCACGGGGTCGCCTTTCACAATTGGGATTTGACTTGACACAGTACCAGGCAGGACTGCAAAAAAAAGCAGCACGCAAAGCATTCGCCGCACACTTGTGTGGTCTATGGCTATCTGAGGTTGTGCAACCTGTGCAAAGACAAGTGCGGTAACGGTACAAGTAGGAACGGAATGCGCAGTTTGGCTTTTTCGGCCTTGGTTTGGGGTTTGAATGGGCAGGAACGTAGTAGGATCCTGCACGACCAAGCGTAAGACAAAATCCACTTGCAGCGGATATTTCGTGACATGTGTGTTTGAAATATGCAGGAACGCAAACGAGCCCCACAGGGGCACCTATATAGGACCCAGGGCCACCGAGGATGAAGGCAGGCAGTGCAGCCTGTGCATCGACAGTTGCGACACATGTAGGAACAGAAGGCACATTGGTTGCACGGCGCCATGGCACACGTGTCTGCAGCTCTCTTGGTGTGTGTGAAGCGGATCGCAGGTCATGACGGTAGCGCATCGGTGCCGTGCTCACATAATCGCGGCAAAAGCAAAGAACCCATCAGCATCGGCAATCGCAAACGACGTGCATCATGAGTCCAGGAGGGTGCAGCTGATGCTCATGATGCTGGCCCCAGGTTGTGCGCATCAGGTGCTCCGGCGGGCCATGGCCGAGAAACTGCCCGAAACGACTGCTGCAAGGCGTGTCTCGTAGACTCACGTCAGCCGGCAGCTGATGATGCTCATGATGCTAGCCCCGGAGGAGGGATGGAAACTTGTCGGAAAGCCACGATTGAAGCGCGGTGCATAACTCCAAAACCGAACCTAGAGTCCTAGAGCCCTGCAGCAACCGAAAACTGCCCAAACCGCGGGACAGCCCCCCGATGATGCTGAAACGAGGTTCCAACCTCTTGCAAATCTGTTCCGTCATCCTATCATCCTTTCCAGGTAGGTATCTCAAACCCTGCGCGCTACGTTGCTGCCAGGAACAGACGCCTGAAACAACTTAAAGTGTGGGGCTTCGGGTATGGAGTTTAAGATTTGGTTTTGGGGTTCAGCATGTGGGAAATAATGGACTTTACTTTGAAGGGCTTATGCGAGGAAAATATTCTTGATTGTTCTAGGAACATCGTAGGTTACCACACATCTTTTCGCAGTGGCTGGCACTGCTTCTGCCATCCTAGTTCTAGGTTACGGTGCCTGTATGCGCCTATGCGTTTTCAGACATTTCAGAATGAGGAGATTTGCATGGATGCGCGAAACCACAGCGAGAGCGCAATCTCAACCAAAGTTGTTGTTCAGGCAGCTGCGCGAAACACTAGAGGCTGAAGTAAATTTTGGGCCTAACTACGTTTTCGCTCGGGTTTTGAACTTACTTTTGAAGATGCTGCAGAACGAAACTTAATTTTTAGAGAGAGTTTTGGAGGAAGTATTGCGGGGTTTAAAGTATTGACTTGCCTTAGGTTTGACCTGGGGTTAATGGTTGGGGCTCTCCAAAACAACCTTGAAGCCTGCAAAAACGCATAGGCGCGTAGAGGCGCCCTCACCTAGTTCTAGTCAAGGCTAAATCCTGCAAGCCAAAGCTGGCTCGATTCGTGCGCTGATTCAAGCCCTTCCTGCGGTTTCAAGGTTAAGCCTAGGCCTAGGCTTGATCTCTAGACTCTACACCTTGAGGGAGATTGGACCAGTCGCTACGAGAGCATCCTTGAAGTAAGGAGCAGCCAGGCCTCGCCCGAAATTTTGTCTTTGTAGGTCTCAGTGATGGTTTTCCTGGGCTGGGGGTGGGGCATTACAGCAAGCAGCTCACAGCACGGCATCTGTCCCGGAAGTTACCCAATCCAACCTAAGCTGAACACGCCGGAACCGTAGACGCCGTAGACCGTAGACCCTTCACAACTTCACTGCACAGGCATACAGTTCACCGGGCTTCCCTTTCTTTCGCTTCTTCTCCGGAAGTTGCCAGCCCAGTGGCGGAACTGAGAGCTGAGGCGACCGGAAACCGCAGGCTTGACCGGACCACGGACAAAGCCCCAAGAAACCGCAACTCTCGGATCTCTGTCAGACAGCGCGGAGAAAGGCAAAAGGGGACAAAGGCGACAATGGCCATTGACAGACCTTTCCACGACGGGAAGAGGTAGGGCCGTAGGGTGCAAGAGGAAAGCCAGAGCAGAGCAGAGCAGGAGAAGCGAAGTTCATCATGGGGGGAGCCAGCGGCAACCAGACGCCACAAGCCGGAGTGGATAACCTGAAACGCTGGCTGCAAACTCCCACGTTGAATGCAAGGTTGCTGGCTTCCGGCTCCTCTGGGGTTCTCCAGATCCGGCCGTTCCCGGCAGAGGCGACTTTGCAACTTCGCTCTCCAGGCTCCAGGACCCCGCCCCCCCTCAAGCCGTGCGAAAAAAGTCTGGAAGAGTGGACCCGAAGGAAGAAGGAAGAAGGAAAGGAACGCCAAGGAAGGACCAGTACAGCGAACAAGTTTATGCCTGCGACGGAATCCAGAGCGTGTTGCAGCTCTTCCCCGCTTGCATGGTCTTCGAGCCCGAGAGATGAGGACTGCAGGGCCTAAGTGGTGATCGCGAGACACCATGTCATCGGACAAGCAGCATGAGAGCTTACACTCTGCAGGGTTCTGGAGCGAATTTGCCCTAAACCACCCTGCACCGTGCCTTCGCCTCGGCATGCCACGAAGAAACACTCTATACTGCCAGTCGACAGAAACTCGATGAGATCGACGTGGCGCTTGCACAGGAACACATGTGTGGCATCAAATTCTGTCCAAATTTGAGAACATTCTTGTTGCAGTTTCGTGCCATGACAGGTTAGCCGCAAAACCCCGCACTACTCTCCGTGCATCCAGGGCTCCAAAGCTGACTATAATCCACACACTCTGCGGAATACGTGGGCTCCTGCGCGAGTTCTGCAGGCACATGTAAATATACATACACACACACACACAACTTGTATGTGTGTCTATATGCATATGTAAATAACATATACAAACCCGAGGCTGGACTAATCAGCACAGCACCTCAAATCTCAAACGCCCGTCTCAAATATGTACTCCGAGCCCGAACTGTGGGGCTGGGTGTGTGTGTGTGTGTGTGATGTGCTTTTGCCTCCTACTTCCCCCGGATGTACCCACATAGTAGCATAGTAATTTTCAGGAGTGGTGTGTGTGTGTGTGTGTGTGTGTGTGTGTGTGTGTGTTTGTGTTTGTGTGTTTCATTTTTGGCGGGAGCCCTGCAGCTACACCAGCATGGCCTCAGGCTCGAAGCCCTCCAGCTTCGGTGCGCTCGGCTGCTTCGGCCGCTTCGGCGACTTGATCTTCCTCAATAAAAACAGCCACAAGTTATATCAACTAGACTAAGTTGTAAGGTTAAGGTGTGGCCAAGACTGGGATGAGCCTGCCAGAAGCATCCCGTCGAAAAAACAGCTCCAACAGCAAGGGGGCCACGAAGAGTTTCTACGAGCCTTCCAATCAGTGACTCTGGCTCCGCCCTCCGCCGCTTTTTCAGACCCTGCTCGAACAGTACCTAACTTAATCAGCTCTAAAGTGGAAATGCGGCAGAACCTCAGAGCAGTGGTGCCCCTCTCTCTGTCTCTCTGTCTATACCTATGCCTGTATCTACACATGCGTGGGTTACAGGAAGCAAGATTTAGTACGACGGAGTGGGGGTTTTGAGGGGAGTGTTTCATTCTAAGAGTGGAGGAAGCACAGGAGCGGAGCTGAGGCGCCGGAGGAGAGCGGCCGTCGCTGGGTTGGGGTTCACGACTTTGGGCAGTCCTGCACCGAGACGTAGGTTTCAGAACTTCAGAGTGAAGTAAGTTTAAGTTGTTTTTCAGGTTGCAGCGGGGCTTGAGACTTGTTCAAAAAAACCTTCGGGGTTGCTTTTTGGTTGGGGGGCTTCGTGGTTTGCTTTTTGAAAGGCGCCTAGCCCAGAGGGCGCTCAAAAGGGTGCAGACAGCGGGGCCTCCCCGTCACCAGGGCGCGTGGTCGGGCACAAAGGAAAACAACCGCTTTGCGCTATACCAACCCCAAATGGCCCCTACACCCTAAACCCTAAAGGCCCTAAATGCCTCCACGGCCCATCCTTGTTGCAAAGATGTTGCAAGGGTTTGCGCTGGAAGATGTTGCTGCTTACCTATTCTGGTTAATGCTCCTTAATCGCCCGCAAAAGGGCACTTCGTAGGACCCCTGGTCTCACGGAATAGGACTGAAGGTTGGACCCCTCTTTGTTTCACCCTGTAACATCCTAACATCCATTTCCCACCTCCAACCTTCAATGTCTCCCCGAAATCCCAATTATTTATCCTACTGGGCTTGATCGTAAATGCGAAGGTTTGTCATATCACGAGGGCACTGGTGGGAGCGGGGGTGGTGCTTGCTCTGCAACAGGGGAAGGAATCATTCCACGGCAAAACCCCTCCATACCTGCATGTCTGCAACGGATGATGGAGTTTAGGTTATTGAGAAGCGCTTTCTTTCAAAAATACCCCCCCCCCCGGAAGAGCTACGCTAATCCTCTCCTGCAAAGTTCAAAGACAAACCCACCCCCTTGCTAAGGCTAGATGCTCCATGTTGCATTACAATGTGCAGTGTCACGAATATATACATATATGATATATGTATATACACACACATACAACCATATATACATAGAGTGGTTTTGATTGCGCGGATTGTTCGCCTGTGCTCTGGAACTCACCATCAAAGTCTGCCAGTTCCGTAGCCTCACATGCGGCGGTCGAGCAGGTCGATGCTGTTGTTCCAAGAATTCCACGAAAAACAGCAGGTTCATGATTTGGGGATCAGGCACTGTAATCCGCCGAACTGCTGCAATCGAAGGCCCAATCCAGTGACAGAAGAACTGAGCGGCTCAACCCACATGCGAAACTCTAAATCCTGGTAAATCCTACCCTCTGACCCCTCTAGATAACTGAGTTGTTGGGAGGCCTTGAGTTCGACTGAACATGTGAAGAACAAAGGTTTCAGCATGTGAGTTGATCTGAGGTTTAGGGTTTTTGCGGGGAGGGCCTAGGGTAAAGGTATAGCAGCACCGTCACTTGCGCAAAGAAATTTGCGTCACTTGCGCAAAGGCGGTTGTCGAATTCATTGTAAAAACCAAATTAAAATGCATTTGTCGAGGCCGGCGGCGGCGGACCAAAAGTACGTTTTCGACTGTTTTGAGTAACACCTGAGAACCATTGAACATGCACTTTTCGAGGCTCGAAAAGCACGTTTTCAATGGTTTTCAGGCGTGCGGTGTCAGAGCACGTTTTGAAGGGTTCGCCCGATGCCGATGTCGTGCGGGAGAGGGGGGGCAGGGGGGGAGGGCGAAGGGGGGGAGGGATGGTAACGTCCTTGTTTGACGCGGGCAGCACGACCACGTCCAGTCTTCCGCGGAAGCCTCGGAGCCAGCTTCCTTGGCATGGTTCAGCAGCATCACTGTTCTGGAAAACCACCGAAAACGCGCTTTTCGAGGCTGCAAAAGCACGTTTTCAATGGGTTTGAAGAACAGAACCCTTCAAAACGACGGTGTGGGGGGGAAGGAGGGAGGGGGGGCGAGGGGAAGGAGGGATAGGAGGGGGAAGGGCGGGAGGGATGGTAACGTCCTTGTTTGACGCAGGCCGCACTACCACGTCCAGTCTTCCGCGGAAGCCTCGGAGCCAGCTTCGTTAGCATGGTTCAGCAGCATCACTGTTCTGGAAAACCACCGCAAACGTGCTTTTCGAGGCTGCAAAAGCACGTTTTCAATGGTTTTGAAGAACAGAACCCTTCAAAACGACGGTGCGGGTGGGAAGGGGGGAGGGGGAGGGGGGAGGGGGAATGGGGGGAGGGATGGTAACGTTCTTTTTTGACGCGGGCAGCAAGACCACATCCAGTCTTCCGCGGAAGCCAGCGACCTTGGAACCAGCTTCCTTCCAGTGAAGCTTCCAACTCTTGGACGCGCTAGGGCCCCCGGCTAAAAAGGAGAAGCACGTCAGGCTCCAGAAGACGATGACGTGGAAGTGGTGCTGCTTGACTTCATCACGGTATCAATCGAATTTGGCGAGAAAGACTCAACCGAAACCACTCAAAACCTGCTTTCACTCGGGAGAGCCGCCTCTCCCTGGTCCTGTCTGTAGCAGCTCTGCTTGGCCTGGCCAGTAGCCGAAGCCTCAGCCTTCGCCTGAAAATCCTGATCCGGGCTTGTCAGCAACCGACACGAGGCAAGAACGTTTCGACGGAAACCACTGACAGCGTGCTTTTCCAGCTTCCAGAAGCACGTTTTCGATGGGTTTCAAGAACCGAACACCAACAGAACCCTAGGAAACGAGCTGCCGCCAGTGCGAGGATAATCCTTTTCAGTGGTCTAGCCACACGACTTTTCCGGAAAAGCATTGAAAATGTGCTTTTGCAGCCTCCAAAAGCACGTTTCCGATGGTTTTGGGCAACGGAACCCTGCATAACGCACGAAAATTCATTGAGCTTGCGAAGGAGATAACCTGCTTTCACTCGGGAGAGCCGCCTCTCCCTGGTCCTGTCTGTAGCAGCTCTGCTTGGCCTGGCCAGTCGCCGAAGCCTCAGCCTTCGCCGGAAAATCCTGGTCCGGGCTTGCCAGCAACCGACACGAGGCAAGAACATTTCGACGGAAACCACTGAAAGCGTGCTTTTCCAGCCTCCAAAAGCACGTTTTCGATGGTTTTCAAGAACCGAACACCAACAGAACCCTAGGAAACGAACTGCCACCAGTGCGAGGATTCTTTTCACTGGTCCAGCCGCGCGACTGTTCCGGGAAAGCATTGAAAATGTGGTTTTGCAGCCTCCAAAAGCACGTGTCCGATGGTTTTGGGCAAACGAACACCAACAGAACCCTAGGAAACGGTGCGAGTACGTCGGGGCTACTTTCTGTTGCATGCTCTAGGAGTCGGCCTGTTCTCAAAAACCATTCAAAACGTGCTTTTGCAGCCTCCAAAAGCACGTTTTCGCTGGTTTTCAGCAACAGAACCCTGCAAAACACGCTTTTCCGCTGTGGAGCAAACTGTGCCGCAGCGCGCCGACCTAAAACACAAGCATTGCTTTATCAATCCGTGACCAAGAAACACACTTTTCAGTGCATGCGTCATGCAGCAAAAACTGCGGCCCTGCCGGCATTTTCAATTAACTCAATAACCTTTACAAACTTAAGTTCATGCTCGAACCACGAATGCGGAGGAGCCCAATCGTGTGGCCCTGCCAGCACTTTCACGATTTCACGACCATGAAAACACGTTTTCGAGTGCATGTGCCAAGAAGCGCAAACCACGGCCCTGCCGGCGTTTCATGTACTATCCGCCGAGGCCACAGGCCCAGGCGTCTTGGGGGTTAGCTCAGGTTCCCTCCACCTAATCCTCCTCCCTGCGGTCCAAATGTTTGGGGACACCCGCTTTTTGCGTTCGTTTGCCACCCCCTTGCCCGGCTTCCCCTCATTTTACCTGATTTGTCGGCCTCCCCCCCCCCCCCCCCCCCCCCCCCCCCCCCCCCCCCCCCCCCCCCCTCCCCCCCCCCCCCCCCCTCCCCTACCCATTCCTCGCACTTCGTATCAACAACCGGGTTTGACAGGCCGCCCTAGCATAAAAAAACATCGACTGCCCTTTCACCCTGCCGCTACACAGCCGAGGCGGGCGGCGTAGCGTTAAAATTACAGCTTCGAACCACACGAAATCCAACGCGCCCCGAAGTGTGAAACCCACGGCCCTGCCGACACTTTGAGCACCAAGGCGTGCACATGCGACGAGGCAAATCTTTGCACAAGTGACAGCTCTGCCACTCAGAACCCCAGACCTGAAACCTAAAACCCTCCAGATCCCAAGCCCGAAGATCCTGGGCCCTTACCTCTGAACCCCGAAGGACCATGAGCCTCCCAGTTCGAGCCCTTGAGGTCCACCGGGATGACCCGCGAATCCACTTCAGTAGCCCAGTCAGTGCCAGAAGAATCTATGAGGGACCACTTTCCTGGAACCACGGCCCGGAGGGGTGGAGATGGGGCCCAAGTAGAACAGCGCTTTATATGTACACTATACAGACAATATATACATATATGTATGTATCATATGTACAATGTTTGTTAATATGTAAAAAATCTCTAGCAGCACTCAAAACCCTATCCAATCGTCAAGATGGCCGGACTGCTTCAAACTACCTGAACCCCACATCGATGCCCAATTTTCGCGTCCTCAGAGTCTCACCCCCCCCCCCACCAGAGCAGTCCTTCAGTGAGGGAGAACCTGGGGAGCATTCATGATTAAGTGGGAGTTTGTCAAAGTTGTTTCACTAGAATCCCCCGAAGAGAGACCCCTCTAATCTCCCGTACTGCCCATACGAGTCCCGGGCTAGATTATGAATATCCAATACACATAACGCAAATAGTCCTTTTGGAGGAACCTTTGCAGTCCTTATACATACCCCACATTTTCAGCCTGATTCGCTCATACAATCCCCCTAGATACCCTGAGCCCAAGACATCGATTTCGGAATTGTAGGGTATAGATTCGGTATATCCCATCTTGAAAAGCTCCCAGGTCATTTGGCTTAGGCCTAGGCTTGACCCGGGGGATTAGAATGTAGGCTGAGGGTTTACTGTTTTGGATTTGAGAATTGGGGTTAGTTTCGGGTTTGGGGCACCTGTCCTGAAATGCGGCCCTTGACGTCACATCCAGGTGCACCTTCAGAAAGTTCGACGCAGCACAACACGAACAAAAGTATGTAGCTAAGCTGCAAGAGCAACCCTTATTTGTCCACCTTAAACGCTGACCCAACATAATAGGTTTTTAATCCTCTCCCTAAAAGCGCTTCATGGTCAAGGCGGCTTATGCGGGTGTAGCAAACTCAGAACGGTTTAATGCTGCGACCGAAAAATGCTTAAGTTTTTAGTCTGTTGCGCGCGCGCGCCTTTCAGAGCCGGGCCTGAAGCAGGGGGGGGGCTATGCTATGTGACTCGCGTTGTGCAAATCTTCAGAGAGGAAATATTGCCTGTAGCCTGCTGTCGGAGTGCTGGGTTTAGGGGTGGTTTAGGGTTTGGGGTGTTGGCACCCAGGAATTGATGAAATGAGTGCCACGCCGCAGGCAGGTGTGGAAGCCTTGTTTTGCAAAGTGAAGTGACATGGACTGAACTGAAGTGCTTGTATCCCGCTTAAGATGATACCTCCTAGGACCCCATAAAAGCCTTATGACCCCTTAGCCTTCGGCTTTAGCTCATGATTTCCAAACTGCAGTGGCCTGGGCCAAAACTGTTGCCTACGGCTACATGGTTCCAAGACACGGGGTCGCTGTCTTGGGTGGGGGTTGCACTGGGGCGATTGTGCCTTAAAATCCACGTCAAAGCGCTTTATATCCCTTTAGGGTCGAAGGAATAAGTCCCCTGCAATAGGAACTGTCTCTAATGCCCGATAGCAGCCGAGCGGCTGCAATCTAAGGTCTCTCTCGGCGACCTGAGAAACCACTCTAAACTCGGGTTTGGAGGGTTTTGGGGTCGGGGCTAGGGACGGGATGGTGACATCTGGTGACGGTTACGGTGTAGGATTTTTTTTGGGAGATGTTGTGACATGGACAACGACGACCACCGGCCAAACGGTCCCCACAACCTTTCAGCTCCGAACACCTTGTGGCCTTCGAAGACTACGCACCACTGGTGAAAGCAGTCAGCCTCCCTACCCCCAACGCATTGCAGTAAACACCACCCACAAAACAACTTCTACGACCGGGGTCAGCCGGGTCACCGAAGCTCCGACAGTGCCAGCCTGCCGAGAGCAGCTTGCTATGTAAGTAGCTGGGCCGTGTGGTAACTAAGACTCAATGACGCCGGGGCAAAAAAGGGCTCTCGAGCATCTCAAAGTAGTCTTTTGGAAAGCTGCGTTGGACAGATCACCTCTGAGCATCCCACGAAAGCATCCTGCCTTGAGTTTCGCGTTCAGGTACTCCATGCTTCTCCACATCTCGTCTTCGTCGAGTGCCCGGTTCCACGTGATGACCTCCATGACACCGAAGTCTGAGGTTTCATAGACAAAGCCCTCATTGATGTACAGGTTGAAATCTCTGTCGTGAAGAACACCCGGGTGGATAGCAATGTTCGTGCTGTCCTCGCCCAAGAAGACAAGGCGCCTGTTGTTGCCACACAGCACAATCCAATCGGTACTGGCTGCACGATCCTGACTTGTGACCCAACTCTTGTAATAAGCAACACCTGCTTTACCGTAATGGTGGCCATGGAGGAAATTTGGATTATTGTTTGAAAGAATGCGTCGCTGTGTTCCTCCTTGGACATACCGCGTGATAGAACAAATCGTGAAGTCCGGCTTCATGATCTTGCCAAAGTCATATCTGGCGTCGGTATTGCCAGAGAGGTACTGCACAGGTTTTATCGCCCCATTTCCAGCCTTCATCTCTATGGTGACGCTGCCGCTTATCACGCGACCTTTCCAGCTGCCCACTGCGCTCTCCCATTCTGGACCAGCATCTTCGCTCCTGAACCAAGCCACCATGGAAGAAGGGTCAGCGGGCCGAATCAGCACCTTCGAGCGTTTCTCTCGCCTCGCTCTGTCTTCTTTCTATTTTTCTTTCAGGCTTAGAGGGCTGCCCTTCGACGGCACAACCAGCTCAACCTAGGATAAACGACACTGCACAATTCTTGCAAGAGCTAGCCTTTGAGCACTGCGGTTCTTGTTTTACAGCAGGAAAATTTGCAGACTATTATCCCTTTGTTGCTCTGTTGTCCTGTGAAGAGCCAAGCAATCTCCAGCAATGGTACAATGGTTGCGATAAGACGTATCGTGGCTATTACGGCAATTATGACTATTGTTACTCAAAGCTACCTGCGGTGTATACTTTGGATCCGACACTGCATTGCAAAGACTCGCAACGAAAGTGGCAGTTCGAAGTTAAACCCACACATAGCAATTTCCACTGTCAGGGTCTCCCTGCATCCCCCCGGAACGGCATGATCCCGTTTGACCAGTTGAAAGGCCTCCAAACCTTCTACCCGAAAAAGGGACCCCAAGCTTGGGAATTGCCCCCCCCACTCAACAGTTTAGGGTTTAGGGTAACAACAATCGACGAGAAGGATGAATTCAAGAGCTTTACACGTCTGCACGATTATTATGAGGATTCGTGATGAAGCACAACCTTCCAGCACCTGCAGAAGCTCGAGGACTGAAGTCCTGCTGTTTTAGTAACAAAGCCAAAACCGTAACTGTCTTTGAGCGAAGCAGCAGTCGCGCCAAAAACAGCCGCCTGTCCGCCGCTTTCGTGTCATAAAAAGAATGGCAAAAATAGTAACAATAGTAATCATCGTCATCGTACGAGTAACAATCATGATGCCAGAAATTGCAGCGACTATAACAATAAGGACACAATACGAATTCAAATAATAATGCTGCTAGGCTTTTAATGATAATTCTGATGATAAACAATAATATTGGTGACACTAATGATCGTAAAACTACTGAGTCGGACGTGAAGAAAGACAACGAAGGAGCCAAGAACTCCTTAACAGGAAACCCCTGACGGAGCTAATGGGTTGGAACCAAAGCATGGCGGCAATGGTTTTCCTGGGCCCGTTTCGTTTTCCTGGCGAAATTTCTGCCGCATAGACGGGCGGGCGGGCGTGGGGTGGAGGGGAGAGGGGAGGGGGGAGAGGGAAGAGGGGAGATGGAAAGGGGGAGAGGGGAGGGAGAGGGAGAGGGAGAGAGGGAGAGGGGAGGGAGAGGGGAGAGGTGAGAGGAAGAGGGGGGAGGCGGGAGTTGGGAGGGGTGAAACCATTTTGCCTCACGTGACCTATGCACACCAACATGGATCGCGACGACCGATCCCGTTCCCCAACCGAGCATCGCGAACAATGGCGGTGGCACTGGGCCACCAACGATGGGAAGAGTTGGTGGTGGGAATGGTGTCAGGTGTCGACCCATTGGATTTTTCTGAAAACGCGCGAAGATAAAGCTTCGCTCCTCAGCATCCCAGACTTTTCACCGACATCGACCCATAGCGAGTCACGCAAGAGGAAGCGTTCTGCTTCACCATAAGATAGGCAGTGGCTGTAATTCGATTTGCCTGCATCAGGCCTGCCAGATCAGAGATTGCAGCACTTCACAGGAGCCGCTGCCCAACCGTCAAAACATCAGCTGCATCGCCTTGCTCATGTCTGTCTTGCTTGCAACGTAAAGCAGGCACCCAACAAAAGGCATTGTGTGTGTGAATCGCTCTCGTACATGAGCCTAAGGGAGTCACTTCCCAACAGTTCTTGCACTTTGCTGTTTTCGATTTTTCAACTGTGAATACTCGGTATTTTCGCAGGGAGTTGCAAGCAGCTCGTTCAGTCTTTCACCAACGAAACACTGAACAAGAGCTGGTGATATCCGACGGGACGCCGTTGGACGTACCTGCAGTTTCTCGGATTAGCCAGTAGGCCCCTGAGGCACTGGAGTAACCAACTCTAGAGTGAAGCCAATTGAGTGCAGGTTGCACGGTTGCAGCAATCTGATTCGCACGGGTTGCATCACATGTCTGCAGCAGCTTTCATGTACCACGGGACAGCAAGCACAGCCACAGTACACTGATTTTGGGTAGGAATCCGTCCGAGAGTGCACCCTTACACTTCCAAAGTGTGTGTGTGTGTGTGTGTGTGTGTGGTGGCGGTGGGTGGGTTGGCGGGCGATGCCAAGTAATAATTAAATCCCCACACAAAGATATGGGAATAAACACAATAAGTAAATCGCCCAAAGATGCCAAAGATCGCTCGTAAAGGACTAACAAGAAGAACAACTCGAATAGTTGAGCTGTTTTCACAATTTGAGATTGCAATTCTAGGTATTTCAGCAACAATGAAGTTTTTACGAGTGGAATGCGAGCATTAAGGACAGTCCAGACTCCAGACATGATCCGCGTTCTGGTCCTGAATCATGTCGTCACGACATGGTATTCAAGCGGGCTAAGTGTATTGTTTAAGTTCAGCTTACATACGCAGGAAAACGCAGTGGACAACTTCCTGGAAACAGGAAAACGCAGCAGACAACTTACAGCTCCCAAACTTAGTAAGCACAGCAATTTTAGGTTACTAGGTAAGTGCATGACTCATGGTACTAAGTTACTCCGAAAATCCACTTCTCATTTAACCTGGTTAGACAACAGGTTCTTAACCGTTTTTTTCAAGGACTGTTATTGGGCAGTTTGCAGGGGATGTAACGGCGGAGATTGAGGGTAGTGGGAGCGTGACTGCTTTCGCCACGCCAGTGTCAGTTTGTTGCTGGTCCTGAAACTTGCATGGTACCTGGCGAATGCAGGGTTGTGGGACCGAGCCATGCTAGTATTATTGAAGCACTGCAGCTTTCGCTGATGTTGCAGTTGCCTCGCTGAGATTGCCGCCTTTACGAGGATCCCTCTTGTTACAAGCCATGACCCGGATCATGTACGGAAATCTTGAACTTGCAGAAAGCTACTTCGTAGAGGTATGCTCACAGCTTCTGTTCCCATGCGCCACGGCTGCAAGCAGGACATGAATGGATATCCTCAAGAAAAGCAGGAAGCGGCCTAACCTGCGAAGCCAACATGGGCCCCAACAGTATCATCATCCTGTCATGCCCCCTAAGTGTCGATAAACTGAACCAGCACCTGGCCTGTGTGGTCATCAGGTGATAGATGAAGCGACCAGACTCATCCTTCTAAACCGGGCTGGCAATTCTGAACATCCGCGAGCTCTTATGAAAACGCCTTGGACCTCGATCCTTTGGGAAAAATAGCTGGCAATGTACAAACAGTTGTGCGGACAGTGGCCAATACCTCCCTCGTCATGGGTTTGCAACTGGCCCATGTGATGCATGGATTTCCCCGAAATGACACGCTGAGGTTGAGGGTAGGCCAGGCATCTCCAAGTCAAGTCGCGCACGGACGGGAAGTCAAGCTAAAAAATCCCAAAAGCCACGTGCTAGCTGGACCGCCCAACAACTCGTGGTGCAGGACCCAATTATCCCACGTAGTCAATACAACACGACCTAGCGTCTAGGCGACAGCACGCACTGCATTTAGCGCCGGGCCCTGTGCTCGTAAGTAACATCCTGCACTTAAAAACAAGATCTCCCGACCTCCCCGCAAACATGAAGATTCGTGCTGCGGGACGTCATTATTGGATCATTGGGTGTTCGAGGATGGGGGCATCGTTGCTAGCCACATTCCTGAAGTCACTCACCCTTACAATGCGAAGAATTTCCGGAGAGGACCCTGGCAAACCCATCATAACACCTTGCTCGAGGACGGTGCGATGATGGTCTAAACACTCTAATCCTTTCCCCTAGTATGGTACAGTTCTTCACTTGGCGCCCAAATCCAGGGCATGAAGGGCACTGCAGCTCCTTTTGCTGCGGGCAGTACAGCCCGTCAAAGCCTGCAGGCAACCTGCCGAAGGTTGTTCAGGGGCTTTCTTTGAGTCTCGTTAGGCTGGGGCTAGGGCGGCTAGGGAGCTTTAAGGGGACTATTCGTGGCTATCGCGCGTTGCTACTCAATTTATGTAGGATGCGAAGAGGTTATTCAGGCCATTGGGGAAGGTCGCCATCCCAAAACCTGCATGAACAATCTGTCAATGACTTTATCCGGAGACCGGCTACGGACATGATTGCTCTTCGAGGTTCTGGACCAAACCAGGTCTTCGCAGACGAACAAGGTCGCGTAAGTTGGAGGGGTGAATAGTATAGTTACTTACCTCTGCATGCATATGTTCGGATGTCCGCACATGTTCATTTATATCACGTGGATATGGATATGCGTTTGCATGCAAATGTACCAGACAACCTTAAAGCCTAAGCCATCTGCCGGCAAGTTCTTCAAAAGACTGGGGTCCGTGTTGTAGTGGCCTGTGGGGAATAACTACATCATATGAGGCAAGGGGCGGCGGAGAAGCAGAGTTGTCCAATGCCACTGGCACTCCCGCAGCCTTCATGAGGTGGAGCTCTTTGCTTCTGGCTACAGGCTGCTGACTGTTTCGGCTCCGCAACCTTGAAACCTCAATGCTCGACTCCCAACCTAAACCTGAAACGCTCAACCCTAAACCCCAAGCCCTAAAGCCCTACCCTAGATCTTCGACATCTCAACCTGAAACCCCAGACCCTTAGACGCAAAACCCGAGTCCAGAGCTCATTGCCCTAAAAATTCTGCAGCACGGGTGTAAAGCGCAGAGACCGCACTCTAGACTGGCGTGTTTTGCATGATTTGCAGGTTGTCGTTTCGGGGCTTTGGGTCTACAAGAAAAGCTTTGGCATTCAGGGTTTCCAAGTTCCCCTGCTTAGGCTGGATCTTCACGTTCCTTTACTAAAGATACAAGCTCTTCATGCAGTCGGAGGAATCCACCAGAAATATGGCCAAATCGAATACCGCTAAGTGTTGTAGGGATGATTTATACCATGGCATGCATAGGCACCCTGTGTTGTCTTACAGAATACCGTGCATCACAAACCACACTTCAAACCAGTCTCGGGTCCCACTGGGTGTGGAAGGCTACAGTTCACTTCCGAATTTGACATTGACGGATGCCGAAGGAACTTTGCAGCAGTTGGTGCGAAAGCGGGCCCACTTGCCACCATCCGAGAATTCCTGTCACACAGTTTAAGGTTTGTGGATGCAAGCACCACTGTCGCAGCTGTCCCCAAAAAACACGAAAGTTCTAAACCCTACAACCTACGGAAGGCTCCGTCCTGGACACTTGTTTGGAAATCTTCTTGTGAACGAGACAAGCGTCCAGGACTTACTTAAACCATGCCGTTGAGCCAACGCTTTTTCCCAGAAGACCCGACGACCATCAAGCAACTAAACAAGTAAGCCATTGAGCCCATCAAGCAAGTAAACGAGAGGATTCCCCCCATACGGAAAACCACTGACCATCAACACACACCATCCATGACCCATATATGCGCAACATCGTACTGGTTCTCTACATATTTTGGAAGAAGCATTGGCTTAATGGTTTCATGGTTTTGCCCCCTTGTTTCGAAACAACATCGTGTTTCGAAACACATGCATGAATGACAGGTATCTCAACGTCATGGTAGGTTCGTGTTTGTTGACCTCGGGTATGTTATACATAGTAAACACAAGATATGCGCTTCCTAAATACATAGATGCGCCCAATGTGTTCTTATTTGTTGCCTTTCTTTCTCTTATAATTGTACTATTACTGACCCATAATCATGATCGTTCTTGCCTGTGTTTCACTCTTTAACTTTGTAAAAAGTATTTCAAGCAGAACGTCATCTATACTTCTCAGTATTGCATGTGCTTGTGTTTATTTTGGTAGTGCTGTACTATTCATGATGCTTCGTGCCTGTGCGATTAAAACAACTCGTGTCATGAAGCTTTCTGTTCTCATGTCGTTGGTCTTCTTGTCATTCCTCGTACCTCTGCTTCATTGCTGCTTTTCAGCGTTTGTACTGTTGTCACTGCCATTAAATTACTGTTATCAGTAATATTGCTATTGTAACACTGGGTCTTGATTTTTTTGACTCGTCTCATCATTGATCGGATCAGTATTCCTGGGGCTGTTGCTCCCGTAATTTATTGTTCTGCTAGTGCTAGTACTGCTATGTCTTATTGCACTTGAGTACTGGTATCGCTGGGATTCTCGTCCATCCCTAGCTTTCGGTGACTCTCAGCATGGCGACTATGCGTCTACTAATTTCTATGAGCACAAATAGTATTAATCTACTATTGGCCACACCGGCATCCCTACAGCGCCTACTCATATTTCTACTCTTGCTTTTGTTTATGTAATGTCTGCCGTGATATTAATGATACCTAACAAAGCCAAGATTTCACAGTTTTCGGAGAATCCAACATCCACCCGAGAATGCTTTCTGAAGGGTATGACTGCTTGTGATAAGATGAGGAAGTGGGAAATTTCATGCAGATTGACACGGGGCCTGTATTGCAAGGTAAAGATTTCGTATGTAACATAGGTGCCCAAATTCAGCATGACTCATACATGTATCATCGAAAATGGAAGTGGAAACCCAGCTCTGAGCGATGAGTATACACTTGATCTTCCGGTTGCAAGAAAACCCAAAGTCTTGCAGTCGCTGATCCGGTTTGCCGGTGGCAAAAGTCTGCGAAGCGACTTCTTCGAAGTGTTCGGTCAGAGGTTCTCTGACTCGATGCTATGCATCGCTCTTGAACGGAGGACGGACCGGGTTCCCATCGATGGTGGTCGCGTCCTCCCATCGCAGGCCAGCTCCATCAGACCGTACCGGTCATAATCGACGGAGTCTGTTGTGGACGGTCTGTAGGGACGATAGTCCAGTGAAGCCAGTTTCGGAAGCAAACTGGATGTCCCCTATATAATCTTACACGCTCTAACAGTGATATCATCCAATGGAAGATCGAGTCTTGTCCATCGAGCATGACAGGGTTCATCCGCGAACCTGCTCCACGAGTCCGACATATTGGCTTTGGTGGGCACCTTCTCGAGGCGGTGTGCGATGCCTAATCTGCTATGCCAAGTCCAATGAGCTGCGATGAGGCAGTTCAAGGGTTGATGTTTGCCGACTCCTCGTACGAGTGCGTGTCTCGACGCCTCATTGTCGCAACATTGTATGTAGAACTTGTCTAGCCAAGGTTCGAAGATGAGTGGGGCTAAAATGGCTACCCAAGCTTCGAGGAGGTAGATGAATGCTGTGTCCGAAGAGAACTGTCGCACAAGAGCAGTCGGCAGCCTGCCTTGAAAGTACGCAGCTCTGTGAACGTCACCGTGGTGGAAACAGATTGCCGCCCAGCCGTTCTCGATTGACTTCGTGGTGGAGGATTCCCATGACGGTAACTCTTCATCGCCGGGGCGGTACAGCTTACCTTTGAAGTATGCGTCAGTGTAGATCACACTGAATTTCGGTGTCGAAAGTTGTCGCGGTATGAACATGGGGTGGCAGTGTACGATGATATTTCGCAGTGCTTGCAAAGAAGTCCTTGTCGGTTTATCTCATTTGTCGGAGCTCGAATTGGCTCGGGCGTAAATCGCTTCCAACGGTTCGCGACCAACTTTGCCAAACAATCGGCCTGTAAGAAAGTTGCACTTGCCCGCCAGCTTGCGTGCCTCCTCTGGTCTCAAGGAGTCGCTGGATAGATGTTCGTCAACTGTCTGTTGCATCATGCGGACTCTGTTCAGGCAAGGGGTCAGGGACAGGCAATTCTCGTCGGAGGAAATGATCACACCTTGTATCCGTTGTCTGTGGTCAGGCGGCTGTCGTTTCCTCGGTTTGATTGAGATCTCAAGACAGCCGTTGTAATCCTCGAATGCCGAAAAGCTCCCCATGGCTGTACGTGTGTCTTCCATGGGGCCATAGTCGTCGACATAGTGGAGAGCCGGGGACAAGACAAGGATCCGGCTGCATGCGACCATGACGTCGCCAAAGCGATTGCAGGCGCACACGCTAGCGGCTGAGCCAAAGAGCAACACGTTGTGGCTCCATAGGGTCGGGCCACTCGGTGTCAGCAAGAGAACATAGGCTTGATCAGGATCCTGTAGCGGAAGTTGTCGGTATGCTCCGTCGTGTCCCCATACATGCAAGGGTAGATCGGGCCTGTCCATGATCGCCGCCAGACCGAGGGATACGAAGTGATCTGGTGTGTGATGGTAGACGGTTGATCGTGCCTGATGCACGTTGCATTGTGTCCCCTCCGACGCCAGACGCCAGTCTTCACCCCTGCGGATTTTGAGTTTCCCATCACTTCCTGATGGCCATCGCAATCATCTGCGCGTCATGGGGTAGTCGAAGCAACGAGGAAGATCGTTGTGGTAGAATCGTGTCTCGTGGCCACAATGCCTGGGCGTGAAATGGGCCGTTCATCCTGCCCATAGCCACTTCTTGCAGTATTTCGCCGAGCATAAACTCCCAATGGTCGTCAATCCGATCTTGGATCTTCTTAATGATGTACTCCTTGTTCTTCAGAAGGAACTGGTCGTGAGGGGTGGGTTTTGTGTACTTCTGATCTTGTCTGATGTACCAATTGACCCCAGGCGTCAAGTGGCCAAGAAGCGGGAATCCTTCGGATAGCTCTTCGGCGAGGGTGTCGGTCTGTGGGTAGTCGAGCATGCGTAGTAGGTGTAAGAGTACTGGAATCTGAGTCACCGAGTCGTCGTGTTGATATGCTTGCCGGACGTGAGGAGGGGGGGACTCGTACCACAGTCCGGTCTCCTCTCGATAGTCTTCGACTGGTTCATGTATGTCGGCGATGACTTCACGTTGAAATCGGTCGAGAGGGTGAAACAACGAACGATGTTCAAGGCACACCACAAGGTCGGGTCCAGTCTCTTCGGTGTTTGGCTCGTGTCTCTCTGTAACGCCCAATCCAGGTGTTCCTCCCAAGAGAACTGTGGCATGTACTCGTAGGACTGTGACCGAGGTGGAGGCCCGAAAAGGACCTTCGTCGACAAGCAATTAAAGTGTAGTTGTCCTGTGTCCAGGGCTGAGCTAAACATGTTTCGTGGTCCAGTGGCTTCGACCGTCCCTAGCAGCAGAAGGAAGATGATCCAGATTGCCGTGGGAAGACGCCAAGCGTTCCCTAACGCCGTGTCACGGGCACGAAAGTCGCCCGGGTTCGGGAGATCGGCTGTGAAGTCGATTGGTAGACCTTGTAGTTGTTCACGAAGTTGCGTTGGCGCCGTCGAGAACGACCCGTCCGGCCACTGGACGAAAAGTTGTTCTTCGATCGCCAAACTGGGTAGCGGCATGAATCGTTTTGCCATCGAAGGAGGCTCTCTTGTTGGAAATGTTTCGAGTTGCTGGCGGGCATCGGTCTGCCCGCGTAGGCACCGGTTTCGAGTTGCTGGCGGGCATCGGTCTGTCCGCGTAGGCACCGGGGGCAGTGAATAACCCACTGCTTTTGACGGTCGTTGTAGGGCAGTCATGTCGAAGCTTGTCCAAACTCGTTGTGCCATAATCTCGCCCAGCGATGTTGCTGTGCATTGCTTGGAGACCTGGTGCTCGTGGTACATCCTGGCCAAGACCTTTTCGGCTCCCAGGAGTTGTTTCTCCGGGAAACTCCGACGTTCTCCATCGACCGTGATCTTGTAGTCCTCGACTAGCTTCGCATACACTCCCGCCAGGAGGTTCTTTGGTGTTGTGTCTTTGTCAGCGGGGGTCGTTGTTGTCGGTGTAGCTGCTCCCGCAGCGGGGCCCGGGGCAGGTGGCTGCAATCGCAGCTGTGTATGAGGCCACCCATCTCCTTCCAGGCGTGAGTCGTAGTCGGAGGGCACGCGGGCGAGATCCTCGACGATGAATGAGTCTCTCAACTTCGAGGTGCCGTGGCCCCGTTCCACGGCACGCTCGATCTGTTGCATTCGGAGTTTGACGTCCGGTGGCACTGGGGTCGAAGTCTGTGCTACATGTTCCTGACAGGCCTGGCTGAAGATCAGCTTCGACCGATCGCGTTCACTAGACGCGTTGTCAGGGGAACCCAAGCTTCCGACAGCTGAAACCACAATTTCCACCGGGAGTCAGCGGAGTAGTAAAAGTCGTTGAATCTCGTCCAGGGCGCCATTGCGCGGCCAGTCACGCCGACGATTGACCACAGTTGTCCTAACAAGTGGTCTCCTACCCAGAGCCGCC